TTCTGAGAGGCTGCCTGTGTCTTCGGGGAAGGCTGAGAAAATTGTTCAGAAGGCCGGGGGACTTCTGAGCCTTGTGAGAAGGCCTCCTCCTTCTCGCTTCATCCCCCCTGGGCTCGCCGCCAACGTGTATCCATGGGACCTCGCCTACCCTGAGATCCGACGCCACGAACGGAACTACAGCGTCGTAAACACGTCGATTGGAGCCCTGGGCCCCATTTTTCTGCGGCATTGTGCCTGCCAGATCGATCCATGAGGGTTCTGGGGCTCGGGATGAGGCTAAACCGCCCGCTGTGGAAAAGACGACGCCAGGATCTCAGGGTGGCTGTCCAGTCCGCGAGGGCCTGGATGTGGACATGCTCGCCGCCCGTGGCCCCGGCCGGTGAGGAGGCCGGCGGAGCTGGACTCCGTCGTCGACGCCCCCGTGCCCGTGCGGCCCTCCGAGCCCGGCGCCCTCGTCGACGCCCACGGGCTGCCCCAGGATCCGCCCGCGCGGGGGCCACGCCCTGCTGCCAGAGCGTGTCCATGTCCAGCGCTTCGGGGTGGTGTCCCCGGGAGGGGGCCACATGCGAACCCTACCTCTACCCCCCACGATTTCTGAGGGGGAGGGTTGGGGTTCACTTCGTTCGGGAGCTCTTGAGCGGTGGATGTGGATGTCTGCACGCCCGCGCGGGCGGGCAAGTATCCACGCACTCACGGCGCCCCGAGAGTTCCTGGGACGCGTGCCCGCGGCAGTGGACATGCGCAAATTCTGGCGGCGCGCCAGGAGTCGGAGGAGGATAAGGATGTGGAGGAGGAGGAGGAGGAGGAGGAGGAGGAGGAGGAGGAGGAGGAGGAGGAGCGAGAGGAGCAGCAGCATCAGCATCAGCAGGGCAACGACGAAGACGACATTGACGATGACAACAGTCGAAAAAGAAGCAACGGCATTCGTATAGACAACTCTCGGAGCTTAGCGCGGATGTCTTGGATCGGCGATGTGTCCCCCTGGTGGCGCCTCTGGTCTGGTGCCGATCCAAGACCTCCGCGCAGACCTCCGAAAGTTTATGTTTATGCCTTTTTGTATTCAGAGGGGAACGCCTCGACCCCCAAACGACAACCGATCGACGAAGGGGGGCCTGATGGCCCACCCCGCCCGGGAGCGTGTGGTGTCGCTATCGAAGCCTTCTCGCCGATTTATCGGCGACGACGGCGAGAACGATGGCAGCAGCGTCGACGACTACGACGACGACACAGACGACGACACCGACTACGAAGGAGAAGACGGAGGCGGTAGCGACGGTGACGACGACGACGACGACGACGGCGACGACGACGATGACGACGACGACGACGACGACGACGGCGACGACGACGGCGGCGACGGCGACGACGACGCCGACGCGTAAGTGCACGTGACGCCCGAAGCTGCGGCCGTCCACTGCCTGTGATTCGGCGGGGAGGTGGCGCGAGGGGGGCGCCCTTCTAAGAAGGCGGGGGGCTTCTCAGCAGCCTCCCTCTGCCTTGCGTGGGGGCCTTCCGTCCGGCTCCCCTCTCCCGTCTGCTCCCTCCCCTCTCTCCCCCTCCCCTCCTGCTTCCGCGCGCTGCCACCCGGGTCCCTCGCTCCTTTGGGGCCGCCGGCGGGGCCCCGCTTGAAAATGCACGCCGGATGTTCGGAGTCCTGCAGGTACCCCAAGACGTTTCGGAATCTAAGACGTTTCGGAATGCAAGACTTTCGGAATCCAAGACTCTCGTCGGCCTAGTGGCGCTTCGGATCCTCCACGGCCGGAGAATCTGGATTCCGCTTGGTTGCCGATCATACCTCTTGGCCCGTAGGCTTGCAGACTGACAGGTGCTCAAACTTGTAGGCATTGCATTCGTATATCCCCACCAGCCCATCCAGCAGCGATGCCCAGGCGAGTTGCATTGATTAGAGAAGTGTGGGACCACACCGTGCGCTCTTTCGGCCCTCTTGGGGCCCTCGTGGGGTTCTCTTGGAGCTCTCCTGGGGCCCTCTTGAGGCCTTGGGAGCCATCTTGGAGGCCATCGATCAAAGAGGGGGCGGTAATCAAGCTGCGTCCCCCCGTCGGGGCCTTCAGAGTCGTTTCTACGGGCCGTCTGGGGAATCTCTTGGGCGCTCTTGGGGCCGCCTTGGAGCCTTTTGGCCCGGTGTTGGGGGCACGTTGCGGCCATGCTGGAGCCATCTAGAGGCCTCCAACGCAGATCGGAAGCGACAAGGCGAACGTGCAGCAACCATTGGTTCGCCCGGGGTTGGGAAGTGTTTTGAACTCTCGGGGTCGTCCTTGGGAGGCTCGGAGGGCTCTTGAACTGTCCTGGGGCCTGTTCGAGGCATGCTGGACGCTATCTTGAGTAATCTTGGGCTCTCTTGAGCGATCTTGGAAGCCATCCTGGTCTGAATGCATCGTGCGCCGTCTTGGACGCTCCAATGCGTCGGGCACCCTCTTCAAGACTCAGGGTAGGGGGTAGGGGGGGGATAACACCCTCCTCGAACGGGAAGAAGGGGGCT